CCCCTCCCCGCTTTCCCTCTGCAGTCTATTTTCAGCTTGTATAAAAGAAAAGAGAATCGTAATAAATTATATATGGACATTTAAAGAAGACTCGTCTGGTGGTGCTGTACTGTTTTCACCTAGGAAAATTTAACCTTCTCCTGCATGGCACCCCTCAAGGGCCTGGGGCAACTCCCCTCTGGCTAAGAAGTCTTGGAGCCGTAATCTGCAAGAATGTGGGGAAAGCCCCTTTGGGAAGGCTGTTTGAATAGTCACATGTTGACTGCCTTCACACATGATGCTAATAACATGGTTTGTTTGGTTTCGGCTTAACGCATTGCACAAAAACAGCTGTTGTAGCGTGTAAGCTGCTGTGGCTTCGGCCTACCCTTGCAATGGTGGTCTGTGCTACAAGCCACGTGCAACTGGAACAGGGCCTGTGGGTTGTTAGGATTTGTTAGAACTTCAGTGCAAGACACCAGTTTTTATTTTCCTTGTTCTTAAGAAGCGTGCATTATTTGTTTTTTTAGCCTCGCTTGGCAAGCAACCAGTTGCTTCACATTCTTTGGCAGCCCTCCACTCTCTGAAGACTTAGTTGATAAGCAGTTTAAACTGCAAGTGAGAGTATTTTCATTTTCTTTGTCTAAATATGTACAGAACTCTATACGTACACATATTTGCAGGTTATAATGCAAACTTAATTTCTGCATGCACTATTTCTAAACCTACTTATGTTCTTAAATGTGGAGCGAATGGTGCGTCACACCCACCGTAGTTCACCAGCAGTAGGGTCATGTGGTATATGAACCTACAGGTAGTCCTCAATTAATGACTACCTCATTTAGCAACCATTCGTAGTTACGACGGTGATGAAAAAGTAACTTTACAACCAATCCTCGCATTTACAACCTACACAGGTCTGTAAAGCAAAGGAAAGCTGAAGTCAGATCATCAGCACAGTCATGGTTTCACTTAGCGACCACTTAACCACCAATTGTGGTCACTAAATGAGGATTACCTGAATTCATAAAGCTCCACTCATTGAAAAATGCCAGCCAATATCCAATTTAGGTGTAGTGAACGAATCACCAAATTTGCAAGGCTGTGGAGGCAGATGTTAACAGAAGGAGAAAGAAACTGGATGGATGGAAAGAAACTGGATGGAATGAAAATTTACAACATGGGTTTCCTGCTGAACAGCCAAACAGGCCAGAGGTTCCAGATCTAGTTACAATGGACCTCGGTTTACAGATTTGGGAAAGGCCTAGGATCCTGGGAATCTTTGCCAGTTTCAACTTAGATCCACTCAGAGGGATGTCCCGAAAGACATTGGCTTCACCTGGATTCGGAAGAAGACAGCTTTCAGACGGTGGACTCCTCAACAAGGAACAAGATGAAGAACGACTTGCTCTGTGTGTGTATGTGCGTCCATACACCCAGGATTGTGTCTTGTGGGTTCCCAGTCTCCTGTGTCAGGGAAGGAAGGGAGAGAGGAATAAACAGGTCTGTGATATTCTTAAATGGCCAGGAGATGGCACCAGCAGCGCTGCAGGAAGAACTGTAGCAGAGAACATCAAGAATTTATTCTGCCTCTTTCCG